TTTTTCATTAGATCTTTAGTAAACGTAGACTAAACAAGTTAACAAATGGCGGTAACTAAAATTTATATTTTTGTGGTCACACTGATATTAGCGGTTTGTTGGGATAAATAATTCAATAAACTTTATAGAATTATTTTCTAAAACTTTATCTTGCGCTTTTATAGATATGTTCGGCACAAGCTACAGAAAACTCTACCGCCAACACCGCCAATGAGTCATCAACCGAAGTTATAAGCTGGTCCACACTGCAATTTTCAGTTTTCATCTGTCATATTTTTGAGCCTTTAGACTACAAATATATCAATAAATCTAATAACATAGCGCAAGAACTATTAAAAGACGAAATTTTTGTGAACAATACAGAATCCGAAATTTTAGAATTTAAACAAAATTTAACCAATTATATAGAATATTATGAAGCTAGACATGGTTATAAAGACATCTGTGATATTTTCAATAATACCAATTGGTTTTACAGGGAGATTTTGAACCAAGAACTTACAAAGGAATCAATATTTATGAAAGAACTTTTAGATAAATATAATTATAATGAATTGGAAATGGAATTTCTAGAGGATTTTGAAGATTTTGTAAATGATTTAAAGAAACAGTTTGAGGAAAATAAAATGGAATTGGAGAAACCTATGAGGCGTTGGTATGAAAAGTTCTTGGGCTTAAATGAGTTTGATGAAAAATTTAAGGCTTTAAAGAAATTTTTTGATTTTGATTTGAAATGATGAAAGAATTTGAATTTAATATGTAAGTGGATAAAAAATTTTATTAAAATATTTAATAAATTTAATAATTGTCAATTAAAGTATATTTTTAATATTAAAAATATGTGTAAGGTAACCCTAAATAAAAAATTATTATCTGCTACTGAGAAAAGCAATAAAAAACATATTTTACATTTAAAACATTGATAAGGTTATAATTAATACAAATAACATGAATAAACATAAAATTAATAATATATTTATGACTAATTGTTTACACACAACAATTAATAAAACCAAGACTTAAGTATAGTTTTGTTTAATTGTTTACAATTAAAATAAATATAATAAATTATACAATTTGTAAATAAAATTAGTTTTAAACTTGAACTTGTTGAATAATCTCCTAATTATTTTAAATATCAAAAATAAATAACATCCAACTCTGTGAGCAAAACCATATGCTTGTTATTAATTACATTTTTTTGGGTGACATTTTGACATCATTTGTTCTTGATAACAGAGCTGCCCATTTATGTAAACACCAGTTAAAGGATGCCACTTATAATTTCAGTAGCCATTAAGAGGTTATTAATAGAAATTTAAGAGATTTGTTTTCAATTATTAGAAATAATTAATAAATTTCTTGGAACTGAACTAGAACAGAACTGAACTAGAACTGAACTAAAACTGAACTGAACTAGAACTCAACTAGAACTGAACTAGAACTGAACTAAAACTGAACTAAAACTGAACTGAACTAGAACTGAACTAGAACTAGAACTGAACTAGAACTGAACTAGAACTTAACTAGAACTGAACTAGAACTGAACTAGAACTGAACTAGAACTGAACTAGAACTAGAACTGAACTAGTACTGAACTAGAACTGAACTAGAACTGAACTAGAACTGAACTAGAACTGAACTAGAACTGAACTAGAACTGAACTAGAACTGAACTAGAACTGAACTAGAACTGAACTAGAACTGAACTAGAACTGAACTAGAACTGAACTAGAACTGAACTAGAACTGAACTAGAACTGAACTAGAACTGAACTAGAACTGAACTAGAACTGAACTAGAACTGAACTAGAACTGAATTAGAACTGAACTAGAACTGAACTAGAACTGAACTAGAACTGAACTAGAACTGAACTAGAACTGAACTAGAACTGAACTAGAACTGAACTAGAACTAAACTAGAACTCAACTAGAACTGAACTAAAACTGAACTGAACTGAACTAGAACTGAACTAGAACTGAACTAGAACTGAACTAGAACTGAACTAGAACTGAACTAGAACTGAACTAGAACTGAACTAAAACTGAAGTAGAACTGAACTAGAACTGAACTAGAACTGAACTAGAACTAAACTAGAACTAAACTAGAACAGAACTGAACTAGAACTGAACTGAACTCGAACTGAACTAGAACAGAACTAGAACTGAACTAGAACTAAACTAGAACTGAACTAGAACTCAACTAGAACTCAACTAGAACTTAACTAGAACTTAACTAGAACTGAACTAGAACTGAACTAGAACTGAACTAGAACTGAACTAGAACTGAACTAGAACTGAACTAGAACTGAACTAGAACTGAACTAGAACTGAACTAGAACTGAACTAGAACTGAACTAGAACTGAACTAGAACTGAACTAGAACTAGAACTAAAACTGAACTAGAACTGAACTAGAACTGAACTAGAACTGAACTAGAACTGAACTAGAACTGAACTATGAACTAGAACTGAACTAGAACTGAACTAGAACTGAACTAGAACTGAACTAGAACTGAACTAGAACTGAACTAGAACTGAACTAGAACTGAACTAGAACTGAACTAGAACTGAACTAGAACTGAACTAGAACTGAACTAGAACTGAACTAGAACTGAACTAGAACTGAACTAGAACTGAACTAGAACTAAACTAGAACTGAACTAGAACTGAACCAGAACTCAACTAGAACTCAACTAGAACTGAACTAGAACTGAACTAGAACTGAACTAGAACTAGAACTGAACTAGAACTGAACTAGAACTGAACTAGAACTGAACTAGAACTGAACTAGAACTGAACTAGAACTGAACTAGAACTGAACTAGAACTGAACTAGAACTGAACTAGAACTAAACTAGAACTAAACTAGAACTGAACTAGAACTGAACTAGGACTGAACTAGAACTGAACTAGAACTAAACTAGAACTAAACTAGAACTGAACTAGAACTGAACTAGGACTGAACTAGAACTGAACTAGAACTGAACTAGAACTGAACTAGAACTGAACTAGAACTGAACTAGAACTGAACTAGAACTCAACTAGAACTTAACTAGAACTTAACTAGAATTGAACTAGAACTGAACTAGAACTGAACTAAACTAGAACTGAACTAAACTAGAACTGAATTTTATGAGTTATGCCAGTTTTGTAGTAATCGAGCGATATGTACGTATGTATATGAATTTTCAAGTGAAATGAGGTGTCGGGTTTTACAAATTAATTATCTAAAACATGTTTTATTTGCGGTTTAATTTATTAAAATCCTAATATATTGTTTATATTAAAGAGATTGTTGCGGAGAGGGAGAATATTTTGCATTTTTTTTTTTTTTTTTTTGTAATTTTAAATTTTGATTAGTTAATTATAGTACACACGAGCACTTCTTTATTTAGTACAAAAATAATATTTTATATTTAGTACAAAACAGATTTTTAGAAGTATTTGACTGAACTTTGTTTAATTTTAATATTTATCAGTAATTAAAATTTTTTTTATAAAAAAAAATTGTATAAGTGAAAAATTTATATTAATCAATAGAAATAACTTAACCATGTCCAATTTTAAAATTTGCGCAATTTTGTTGGTGTTGATCTTGAGCCAAGTAAGTTAAAATAAATATCCTTTTTACAATTTATTTTATTTCTTTAAATAATTAATAATCCATGTTTATGTTTCTCTTTTAGACCGCATTTGTTAAATCTGAAAATTCTTCGGAGAAAACTAATACAAACTTAACATCAAAACAAAGTTTTCTGAAATATGTCATTACTAGTTTTTCTGCAATGATTCAAGAATATTCTGAAAAATCGCTTAAAGTAAGCCGTGCTATTCTAAAAAATGAGGAATTTAAGTCACACCATGAACCCTTGATTGAGGAATTTAAACACAATTTAACCCAATTCTTGGACTATATTGAAGCCAATAATAATGTGCCAAACAAATTAGTGGCCATTGACATGTTTACTAATACTACTGATTTCTATTATGAAATTCCTGAACAGAAACTCACTTCTGAGACTAAATATATTTTAGAAATTTTAAATAAATATCGCTACAAGGATATAGAAGTTGAAATGGAGAAAAAATTCTCTACCTTTGAAAAGTATTTCAAGAAAATGTTTGAAGAATTCAAAAGTGAATGGGATGAGCGTGCTTTGGAGTGGTATGAAAAATACCAAAATATCCAGGATTTTAAAGAAAAATTTAATGCTTTTACTAATTTGAAAATTTTTTAAAATTAACGTCGAAATAAATAACAGTTAATGTATAATTTTAATGTTTTTTATTCTCTTAATAAATAAAAATAGTTTTGAGTTCAATTCATATAAAGTAATTTAGAAATTAGGAATTTTCTTTAAATTTTGTATGAAATTAACACTTTATTCTTTACACCAATTCCATAAATTCACTAAAAGCTTCTAGTTTATGCTCAAATTCCTTTAAAGTTTTAAATTTCGTATACCAATCCCTTAGCGCCTTATTCCAATGCCCCTCATACTCTTCGAAAAACTGTTCGAAATTCTCTATGAACGGCTCAAAATCTTTGGCAATATCTTTTTCAATTTCTTTATAATTATATTTATTTAAAAGTTTTAAAATTAATCTAGTCTCCATAGTATGTTCTTCTTCGGTTAGTTTATAATAGTATTCCGTAGTATTGGCAAAAATTTCCATTATATTCATATTTTGTGGTAAATTTTTTTGGTTTTCATAATTTTCCACAAATTCAATTAATTTATTTTTAAACTTTTCGACTTCGGGTGTGCGTTCGGATAGTAAAGTTTCATCTTTTAATATAGCACGACTGATATCTGTATATTTGGTGGCATATTCTTCAGCTAAAAGTAGGAAATTTGTACCGACATAGTGTAAAAGTTTTTGTTGAGGTAAAAGATTTTCTTTAGGTTTGTTTAAGGAAGCATCGTTAGTGCTGTAAGAGTCCTCTAAGGGTATACTATAGGCGCTCTGAAAGAAAAATAATAATATTTAATAAATTTATAAAATTATAGTAAAAATTAAAAAAAAAATAATAAAATTTAGAAAATTTAAGTTTCATAGGAAATTTCCTTTATAAAAAATAAAAAATCGTTAAAATTTAAAAATATTTTAAAGCCCATTTTTATAAAAACTATAAAAAAACAAAAATTTAAGAACTTATTTTCTAAAATATACTGACCTGTATTAAAAACACAAGCAAAAATAGAGAATTTATGTTATACAACATTTTTATAAAGTAATTTGTTCAGATGCTACTAAAGAACTAATGAAAACTACAAAAAAAATTATTTTATTTATGTCTCAACATAAAAGTATTAGTAGAACAATTCTTTAAAAGGTTATCAATATAAAACATAATTTTTAAAAAATCAACAACAAACATTAACAAAAATTTGGCTGATCTTTTGTAAGATAATACAATTTTGAACCCTATCTCTCTCTAATATAAACAGTATATTTGGGTTTTGATGAAATAAAAACAAATAAAACCTTTAAAAAAATGTATAATTAGTAAACTAAACCATATTGATATAAAATTTTACTTTTTTAAGCAAAATTTTACTTTTTTTTTAAATTCTGTTCAAAATTTTGTAAATAATTTATCATGTTATTTTAAAAAACTTTGCAGTTTTCCATTATTTACAATAATTTTGCTTCATTTTATAATTTTCTCTTATAATATCACAAGATATTGTAAATTCTTTCTTAACAATAGAAAAAATCTCTTAAATTTCTTTGAAAATCCCTTATGGCAACTTTAGCGTCTGCTAAATTAAATAGTGGCATCACTTAACAGTTGTTTACTTATAATATGGGCAACTCTGTTGTCAAAAGCAAATGATGTCTAAAAAGGTAAACAATAAACAGACATATCGTTTAGTTCACAGGGTTGGATGTTGTTATACCTTAACTTATTTTTAATAATTCGGTAATTATTAAGCAATGGTCGTAATTTTAAAGGTAAAATGCATAATTATTGGTAAGAAATGATAGAAATCAGTTGGCTTATATGATTTTATTGTTAATTTTAATAAAATCTCAAATTTGAACTGAACTAGAGAAGAACTAGAACAGAACTAGAAAAGAACTAGAACAGAACTAGAACAGTACTAGAACAGAACTAGAACAGAACTAGAACAGAACTAGAACTGAACTAGAACAGAACTTGAACTGAACTAGAACAGAACTACAACTGAACTAGAACTGAACTAGAACTGAACTAGAACTGAACTAGAACTGAACTAGAACTGAACTAGAACTGAACTAGAACTGAACTATAACTGAACTAGAACTGAACTAGAACTGAACTAGAACTGAACTAGAACAGAACTTGAACTGAACTAGAACTGAACTAGAACTGAACTAGAACTGAATTAGAACTGAACTAGAACTGAACTGAACTAGAACTGAACTAGAACTAAACTAAACTGAACTGAACTAGAACTGAACTAGAACTGAAACTGAACTAGAACTGAACTAGAACTGAACTAGAACTGAACTAGAACTGAACTAGAACTGAACTAGAACTGAACTAGAACTGAACTAGAACTGAACTAGAACTGAACTAGAACTGAACTAGAACTGAAATAGAACAGAACTAGAACTGAACTAGAACTGAACTAGAACTGAACTAGAACTGAACTAGAACTGAACTAGAACTGAACTAGAACTGAACTAGAACTGAACTAGAACTGAACTAGAACTGAACTAGAACTGAACTAGAACTGAACTAGAACTGAACTAGAACTGAACTAGAACTGAACTAGAACTGAACTAGAACTGAACTAGAACTGAAATAGAACTGAACTAGAACTGAACTAGAACTGAACTAGAACTGAACTAGAACTGAACTAGAACTGAAGTAGAACTGAACTAGAACTGAACTAGAACTAGAACTGAACTAGAACTGAAGTAGAACTGAACTAGAACTAAACAAGAACTGATCTAGAACTGAACTAGAACAGAACTAGAACAGAACTAGAACAGAACTAGAACAGAACTAGAACTGAACTTGAACTGAACTAGAACTGAACTAGAACTGAACTAGAACTGAACTAGAACTGAACTAGAACTGAACTAGAACTGAACTAGAACTGAAGTAGAAGTGATCTCGAACTGAAGTAGAACTGAACTAGAACTAAACTAGTACTGAACTAGTACTGAACTAGAACTGAACTAAACTAGAACTGAGCTGAAATTTTACAAAAAAAAATAATTTTTTTATTAAAAATTTCAATTTTTACTATTTTGTTGTTTTTATTTAAATAAATTATTTCTTCTTTTCTTTGCAGTTTATTTTCTTTATGACAGTTTAGCACAAACAAAATACAACTCTTCATTCATTTACTACCCAACACTAGATGTCACTCTAATCATTAGTGTCTATCTAATGTCATTTTTGACAGTTGTCATTCTTTGGCCCATTTCCGTTTCTTTCTACTGACAACAACGCAAGATGAAGTACGTATTTTTTTTATAATGTAGAAAAATTCTCAAAAAGAAAATTAAAAATTATTAAAAACATCCCATAGTGATTAAAATAAATATTAAAGAAAATATTTTGTTTGTGTTAAAGAGAAAAGCATAAAAATGAAATTTTCCAGTGAAACAAACCACTAATGGCGTAAAAAAATGTTTTGTTTTTATTTTGCAGAATCGGTTTGTGTTCATTCAGTGGGTACAAAATCTACCCCGGTCATGGCAAGACCATGGTCAAAGTTGATGGCAAGGTGAGTTTTGTGTAGAAAAAATGCTAAAATAAAAACGAAAAACTAATTTCCAATTTTGTTTTGTTTTAGTCCTTCACTTTCTTGGACAAGAAATGCGAACGTTCCTACTTGATGAAACGTAATCCCCGTAAGGTTACCTGGACCGTCTTGTACCGTCGCAAGCACCGTAAGGGTATCGAGGAAGAAGCCACCAAGAAGCGTACCCGCAGAACACAAAAGTTCCAACGCGCTATTGTTGGTGCCTCCTTGGCCGAAATCATGGCTAAGCGTAACATGAAACCTGAAGTACGTCGTGCCCAACGCGAACAAGCCATCAAGGCCGCCAAGGAACAAAAACGTGCCACCAAGGCTGCCAAGAAGGCCGCTCAACCCGCCGCCCCCAAAGCTAAGGCTGCTCCCAAGCAAAAAGCCGCTAAGGTTCAACAAAAGGCTGCTCCCCGTGTAGGAGGCAAGCGGTAAACAGCTGTTTTTATCCACACAAGTTGTTAGTCATAGGTGGCTTTTAACCTGCCTCCCAAACGGGTGGCAAGTGAAGTGTTTTTTAAAAATAAGTCGGTGTTTTTGTTAACCATCCCCATACAAAAACAAACTCAAGATAAAAATTGATGTGAAGTGAAGAAAAAATAAAATTTAAAGAAAAGCTTAAGCTTTACGAATGTAACATTCGTATGGTGGAAAAAAATTGGCGAAAGTGTTTTTATTTATAAATTTTATTAAACTCAAGTTTTTCGCGTTTGAAAGAGTTGTTCAAAAAGAAGATTTTGTAATAATTACTTCAAGATAAATGTGTTTATTGCAAAGGATGTAGTGAATGAACAGGGTCAATAACCTTTGAAATTGGTAGAATGTTAGCAGTGCAAACATATGTACATGGAATAGTTGTTTTAGACAAATATATAATAAATAACTGCAAAATTGTTCAATGAGCAGCATAGAATAGAGATGCAAATAGGAAATCGTTAAATATTAAACCTTAACTCTAAGCGATCAAGAGTTGATCATTATATTGTATTCTTCATAAAAGTGAAATATCAGATCGATAGTCAAGTCATGACTCTAGAGTCTAGACTGATATATAGTCAATATTAAAGTCAGGATTATAGAATTGTCTATTATCTAAGACTACCGACTGACTGATCTACAGCCAAGACTCTAGTCTAAGCTATTGTCTTATCTACAGTCAGTACTAAAGAATTATCTAGTCAAGATTAAAGACATATCTATAGTCAAGATTATAAATTGATCTATCGTCAATACAATAGACTAATCTATAGTCAAGACTATACAATAGATTGCTTGATGAAATTCTTCATATAGATAAAATTCTACAATTCAGCTAAGAAAATACATATACAATTCAGCAAAGTAATTATATTTTATATAGAAAGATATACTTTGAAAATTTGAATTCAGCCAACATTTTTTACTCTTCAGCTAAGTCAAATCCTTGAAAACCCATTACAAATCAAATTCAGCTAACATTTTTGGTAATTCAGCTAAGTAATATTCTTCTTAAAGTAGAATTTTTACAATTCCGAAAATAAGCAATTTTGCTGATTATTTTCTGTATAATTAAAAAGTTTTGCATTAAAAATATGAATTCAGCTGGCTTGTTTTACTAGTCAACTAAAAAATCATGTAGCATTTTAAGTGAAATTCTTCGTTAAAACGAATTATAAGAATTCTGCTAACAAAATATGCATTTCAGCTGATTAAATTTATAAATTGCAATATACATAAATATGTAGATTTACTTTATAATATTTGATTCAGCTATTCAGCTAGCTATAATTAGGGAAAAATTAGTAGAAATCATATTTACTACTATTCAGCTATATGAAATTCATGAAAATATGCAATTCAGCAAATTTTTATTATAAGTGTAATTCAGCTAAGATTTTTTGCTATTCAGCTAACAGAAATTCATTATCGAGAGTGAATTTTGTTATTCAGCTGAGTATATTTATTATTTTCTAGATAAATAATGTAATTTACCTTATAATTCAGCTAACAATTTTTGCTATTCAGCTAAGAGAAATTCATTATCGAGTTCAATTTTGCAATTCAGCTAACAGGAATTTGTGATAGAGTTTAAATTTTGCAATTGAGCTTAGTATATTTATTATTTGCTATAAAAAATCCAAATTTAGTTTAAAAAAATTAATTCAGCTAAGATTTTTTTCTATTCAGCTAACAGAAATTCATTATGGAGAGTAAATTTTGTAATTCAGCTGAGAATATTTATTATTTTCTATATAAAAAAAGGTATTTTACTTTAAAAAATTTAATTCAGCTAACAATTATTGCTATTCAGCTAAGAGAAATTCATTAATGAGTTCGAATTTGGTAAATCAGCTAGGTATATCTGTTATTTTCCATAAAATAATGAATTTTACTTTAAAAAATTTAATTCAGCTAAAATTTTGTGCTATTCAGCTAACAGGAAATCGTTATATTGGTTATTTCCTTATAAATAATGAATTTCACTTTGGAAAAATGTAATTCAGCTAAGAATTTTTGCTATTCAGCTAACATACATTATTGATAGAATTCAAATTTAGCAATCCAGCTGAGTATATCAGAATTTTCTACAAAAATTTTGAATTTAAATTAATAAAATGTAATTCAGCTAAAATTGTTTGCTATTCAGCTAATAGGAATTCATTATAGAAATTGAATTTTGCAATTCAGCTGAGTATTTTTGTTATCTTCTTTACAAATAATGTATTTTCCTTTCAAAAAATGTAATTCAGCTAACCCATTTTTCTATTCAGCTAACAGAAATTCATTATAGAAATAGAATTTTACTATTCAGCTGAGTATTTTTGATGATAGAGGCGGATTTTCCAATTCAGCTGAGTATAGTGGTTTTTTCTCTAGAAATAATTAATTTTACTTTAAAAAATATAATTCAGCTAAGAATATTTGCTATTCAGCTAAGAAAATTTCATGAAGAATATCTTTAAACAAATTCAGCAAACATTTTAGGTAGTTCAACTAACGTAAAATTATTATAAAATTCAAATTTTACAATTCAGCTGAGTAATTTTAGTAAAAAAAATCGAATTCAGCAAGTAAAATAGTGTTAAAATATGGACGTTTTGCGATTTTGTACCTGTTAAACCATTAAAACATAAAGAAAAGTCTTGAAACTATTTCAAAATAATTTTATAAAATTTTATTTTTAATTCACAATTAGTTTTTATTTTTTGTTTAAATTAGGAATGTTTTATAAACCGAACACTTTTGAAAAAAAAAACAGTTATACTTTTAACAATACTTTTATCAGGAGTTTACAACTTGTAAGAGTTACATACAAAATATGAATAAAAAAATATATATTTCGAAATTAAATAGTTACAAAAATATATAATATAGCTAATAAAAAAATAGTCTTAAGAGAATTATTTTTATATAAAAATAGAGAGCAGATTCACAGTAATGTTGTTGTTCTTATTTTATACAAAAAAAAAAAAACAACTAAAGTTAGGGTGGGGGCGAAAAAGAGGCAATCACAATTCTTCGTGTTGAACATTTTGGGCAATTTCATTTGCTTTTTTCATATAGGCAATGAAATCCTCACGTTTACGTCCTCCCACATACTCGGATTTAGTTTTGAGATAAGAAAAATACTTAATGGTGGGATAACCACGCACTTCCTGCTGCAGACAAACACTGTTGTCACGGGTGCAATCTACTGCTGCCAGAATCATGCGTGGATCTTCTTTTAAGGCCTTGGCAGCAGCATTAAATTCGGGTTTGGTGCTTTTACAATGGCCACACCCTGTGGGAAAATAATTAAAATTTATAAAAATATTTTTTTGGATATTTTTTTAAAATTTACTTACAGGGCGCATAGAACATAACTAAAGCATGTTTTTTTCTTTTCAAAGTACTGCTAAAAGTCTGTTCATTTAGGAATAATACCTCGGAATCTTCTTCCTCTTCCCAGGATTTCTCTGGTGGTGGTGGCGGTGGTGGTTCTTTGGGTTCCTTCATGAAATCCACAATTTTTGTGGCCTCTCTAAAGTTGACATCATATTTAAATTGACCATTTACGAAATATTTCAAGGTGGGATAACCAGCCACCGAAAATTGTTCTGCTAAAGCGGGCTCTTTAGTGGCATCTAAAGCTGCTAGAACGCCGGGTATGTGTTGTTGTTTCATTTCCAAGGCTGCTTTTTCATATTCCGGCTTCAAGCGCTTACAGTGGCCACACCAGGGAGCATAAAACATTACCAATACAGATTTCTCCTCCTTTAAGGCGGGTTCAAAATTTTGTTTTGTTAAATGCACTATTTCGGAATTAGTATCCGCCGACCAGTCAGTCTCCTTAGGTTTTTTAATGGGTAAGGAAGTGGGATCCCTCATAAAGGCCATAATGGCCTCCTTATTGCTGTCACTCTCATAGATTTGTTTCATTTTGCCATTTTCAAAATACATAATAGTGGGGAAACCTAAAAAGCACAACATTTTAGTTTAATACAACAAAAACTTATATTTCCTTAACACCTACCCGTTATATTATAAGTTCGTCTAGCCATGGCATTAGCCTGTTTCTCTACATCCATGGCAGCCAATATATAACCCTCACTTTTCAGTTCTGTGGCCGCTTTGGAATAGTCAGGTTTTAAACGTTTGCAAAAACCGCACCAGGGCACATAAAACATGATTAACATGGGTCGGGGATCCTTTTTCAAATGCTTAACAAAAGCAACATAATCTGTGAAATGCAACACATCTTTGCCCATAGCATCCTCTTCCCAGGGCAAATCTCCCGCTGGATCGCGCATGAAATTTATCATGGAAGTTGCCGACATTTGACGATCGTAATCTTTGTGGAAATCCCCCTCTTTGTAATGTTTTAAAATCACTGGCGCTGGATTTACCTTCAATTTTTTACACAATTTCTTTTTATCCGCCTGGGAGCAGTCCATTAAGACCATAGTGCCACTTCCCTTAATGGCCTCGGCCGTTTCTTTGAAAACTCTTAACTGTTCTGCGGATTGTTTAGTATTGCTGGTATATAAAACCAAAACATTAGTTTTGGTGCGCAACAGTTTTTTGAAATCTTTATACTCGGTAATATCATCAATGATGACCGAATTTGTTTTGCCATTCAATTTGCCGGAAGCCGGTTTTAATATGGCTACTATTAAAATCAGGCTCTAGAAAAGTAATTTCAGTATTATTTTACAATTTTTTTTTATTTTAAATTATACTTACTATTGTAATTAATTGTTTGCTAAACATTTTGTTATTTAATTTCCATTAGTTTTTGTTTTAAAATAAAAATTTACAAATGTTTACAGCAATTTCTTTTGCAAATATCTTTACTTCTAAAGAAATAAAACAAGGTTTTAACATAACATCAAAGAAATGTCAAATTCCCTATCAAGTTAATAACTACAAATGTCAAACTTCTTATAAAAAAACAATAAGAATCAGCCAGTGTCATCATCTAGCTTAAAATTCCCCTTGACCTACACAATTACGGTTTTTGGCATTTTCTCTTTTTTGATGACGTTTCTTTTCGATAATTTGTGTAGGCGATTTTAGAGAGTTGCCATATGCAACATATTATAAAGTTTATGTGCGGCCAGAACGTTTTTTATTTACTAAATGAAAAAATAATAATAGTTTGAAAATTTTTTATTTGGATTATAACAATTTAACCAATATACTTTTCTTAAGCATAGAGCAACGTTGAATCTATATCTGGGCTTAGAATTTATCCAACACATCAAGCTTTGCAGTAATCTATATAAAATGTTTTACTAGATAGTTTTCTAAAGAAACGTGTTTTCAGAGAATTTTCTATAGAAAGGTTTTTTCCGGTTATCGTTCCTGAAAAATTTCATATAAAAAAATGTTTTATTTATATAAGTATCTTCCTTAAACAATTTTTTTATTCATAATATTATTCTTTTTACCGTTTTATATAGAAACGTGTATTAGTTTTACCGTTTTGTGTTATTATTTGTCAGTTTTCTGTAGAAAAGAGTTTACTTTAGAAATTTTTCTACAGATATTTGTCATCTTTATATAATTTTCTATAGAAAAAAGTTTTTTTTTTTTTTTAAATTTTCTGTTAACATTTTTTATAGTTTTCTAAATTTGAGACTAATTTTTATTAAAATACAATGTTCATATGAAAGCTCTGACATAGGTTCTATTTTAATTGAGGAAAAATTTAAATCTTCCATCAAACATTTAAAATTGGCTTTAGTTCAATAATTTGCTCAGTAAATTTGAACACACACTCGTAAACTCCAAAATCCATTACATCAAGAAAATCCAGGGACGTAACGGTTATAAGAAAAATGACGAAAAGGTCTCATTTATCAATTAATAGTGATGGATTTCAAATAAGTGTTATAATTAACCATTCTTATAAGTTATATTTGATTTTGATCGTCGTAACCAATACCAGAGAGAAATATATTTTTTTGGTTAAGAATAACAATTATCGTAACCAAAATTTTTTTATTGGTTATATTTTTTTCAAATATCTTTGGTAAAATAAATAAAACGGGCAGTTTTGCAACAAATGTCTATTCATTTTATAAATAAAATATAATTTAAATTAATTTGCCGTTTAATTCCGTTAATATTTATATGGACCAAAAAATAAATTAAGTAAATTTTGGTTATCTATAACAAAAAAAATATTGGTTGCTGAATAACAGTTATTCATAACCAAAAAAAAAAAATATTTCTCATGTTAATTGGTTACGGAGACCTAAATAATATAAATCTTATAATAATGGTTAAAAAGTACTTAAATAAAATAAAGGGATTTTTTGCGTAACCTTTTCTTTCAAAAGAAAAAAATAACAATTATTTTCGGTCCCTGAGAAAATCTGGTTACTTGAACTTTTCATTATACATAGATTTTTTATATGGACAATCTAAAATCGTTTGTTATACCCAAAAAGTAAATAAACATTCTTGAAAATAAAGAATATATGAGATTTCCCTATAAAAATTTTATTAGAAACCTATAATTTCTAAAAATGTGTTATAATTTTATTTAAAGAAATATTTATTTCTTTAAAAAAACAAACATTTAAATTCAAATTTAAATTATATTAACGTAGTGGCAGCATTCCAATGCAACCCTGTATGTAATTACTACTTTTTCCTCGCAAACTACCCTAAAATACAACTCTGTCAAGCAACGGCGTTGATTTGTTGTGCTATTTGAAAACAACTGAAATTTCCACACACAACTACAAGCGCGTTTTTTGCTCTAAGAAAAATAAAACAAAGCAAGAAAGAGAAAGGTACAAAAATTAAATAAATAATTATAGAAAATAAAAAAGAAAAAAACGTCAAGAAAACTATAAAAAATTAAAAGTGGAAAACAGTTATTTTTAGCAAGAAATTTTAAGAAAAAAACTTACAATTGCCACTAAACAACAAACAATAATAAAGGTAAGTAAACAAAAAAGTGAAAAAACAAGCGAAATTATGAAATATAAAAAGGACGCGGGTAGAAGAGCGAAAATTTAAAGTGAAATATTTGTTTAAACAAAAAAACATTTTTCTAGGAGAATATGACACCAGCCCATACAGATTCTCCTTTAAGGCGTTCAGAAGTGGGTATTTTCCGAGAGGGACAACAAAATGTCACTATCAATGACGATGAAGAGGAAAGACGGCAGGCCAGAAGAAGAACTTTATTGGCTGGCAATAATACGGGAGAGTCGTCGACCTTTGAAGAGAATGAAACATTAAAGAAATGTCTGGAAATCTATAATGGCAATAAGTTAAGCAAAGAAAATGCCTGGTCTCTTTCGCTCATCGATACATTGTCCACTTTGCTGGAAAGGCATCATAAATCTTTAAATAATTTTAAGGTAAGCGCTTAAATCTGAAATTAAACTTAACAAAAACTATATGTGAGTATGTTTTTCCAGGTGGCTGGTTCCTCTTTAGAGGCTTCTTCTAAGGTTTATAGTTTAAGAGTAGATTCCATACATTCAGATGTCTTGCGCATGTCTGCTGGCCTTAATGCTCAAAAGTATAAAGAGAAACGCATCGATGAGGATGATGACGATGAGGCTGAAAATGAAGTGGCCACGGGTGGAGATGGCAGTAATGATCCTAATGCTAGTGCTGCTGGTATAGAGGGAGCTGAAAAACAAGCGGCTAAACCTAAAGCCAAGAAACAGCGTAAAAATCTTTCCACGGTAACTAAAAACAAGGATACCCTAAATGCCCGTTTAGATACGGTACCCCTGCAAGATCCTGTTTTTGGCAAATTAAACTCCATTGTTGGCTCCATCAACTCCTCGAATCGTTTGATGAATAACATACTACTCACACATGATTCAGAATTACGCTTAAGGACTACTTTCCTTATATGGGATAAACAAGAACTACCCAATTGTGATTTTACCGAGGAAGTAGATTTACATACCGACAATGAGGCGGAATTGGCTCCTTGTGATCGTTTGTTTAAAATGAAACGTCCTGAGGATATTCAGCTGCGTCCTTTACATGGTGGTTATGTTATATCCGATACTCCAGAAGCTAAAGATGAGGATGATGAGCAGGATAAACGTTCTCGTTTAAATAGTATACAATCGGATGATGATGATGGTCCGCCGGGTTGTAATGATGATGATATGATGATGGGAGGCGGCGGTGGTGGTGGTGATATGTGTGATTTGGCACCATTCGCCAATACTAATGAAATGGGTATGGCTTTCGATATGAATGCTGAATGTGAACCTATGCCTATGTTGAGTCAGCAGGTGCCAATAATGGATGTTAATTATGAGGAATTGGATGATTTGACTACAGGTAATTTAAATATTGTTATAGATTTTTTTTAAATATACATTTTAGAGGGAGTTTTATAAAAAAGTATCATTCTGCAGTATGTTTTCCATAGTTAATATTTTTAGATTTCATTAAAATGAAGACCTCCGGCAACAGTTTTCTATAAAAAAATGTCTCCTCAAAAGTGTTTCTATAGAAAATTGACTTAAGAAAAAGTTTCTTGTTTTGTTTCAGTATTTTTCTATATAAAAGACTAATCTTTGGAAAAGTTTAAGAACGTTTTCTATAGAAAAGTTTCTTTAGAACTTTAACTGAACTAGAACTGAACTAAAACTGAACTAAGAACTGAACTAAAACTGAACTAGAACTGAACTAGAACTGAACTAGAACTGAACTAGAACTGAACTAGAACTGAACTAGAACTGAACTAGAACTGAACTAGAACTGAACTAGAACTGAACTAGAACTGAACTAGAACTGAACTAGAACTGAACTAGAACTGAACTAGAACTGAACTAGAACTGAACTAGAACTGAACTAGAACTGAACTAGAACTGAACTAGAACTGAACTAGAACTGAACTAGAACTGAACTAGAACTGAACTAGAACTGAACTAGAACTGAACTAGAACTGAACTAGAACTGAACTAGAACTGAACTAGAACTGAACTAGAACTGAACTAGAACTGAACTAGAACTGAACTAGAACTGAACTAGAACTGAACTAGAACTGAACTAGAACTGAACTAGAACTGAACTAGAACTGAACTTGAACTGAACTAGAACTGAACTAGAACTGAACTAAAACTGAACTAGAACTGAACTAGAACTGAACTAGAACTAGAACTGAACTAGAACTGAACTAGAACTGAACTAGAACTGAACTAGAACAGAACTAGAACTGAACTAGAACTGAGTTAAACAGTTTTTTTTAAATTCTCTTTCATTATTCTTTTCTATAGAAATGTTTCGTTTCTATAGAAAATTCTCTTCCTTAGCCAGTTTTCCAAAGTGCCTTAGATAGTTTTCTCTGGAAACGTGTCTTCAATAGAGTGTTTTTTTAGACAAAAAATAATTTAACAAATTTTTTCAACCTTTTTCTTTCTTCCCTTCTTTTCAGAGGAACGTACCGCCATTAATAACTGTCGCGGACTGCGCAAAGCGCCCATTCTCATCGAGGATTTACGCCCAGTCGATGCAAGCTCCAAACTTGAATACTCTTATCGTCCACTCGATAAAATCTCACAATTTTGGGCAGGACCCTCTCATTGGAAATTTAAACGTGCTCGTACTGTACGCTCCAGTTTAGCAGTCCAACAACAAACCGAAGTTGGTGGTCGAGCAACAAATCAAAGAGGCACTAAACGGGCCAAAAAGGCTTTGGACAAAAGTAAATCGAAACAATTGAAATTTGGTGAATTTCACGATGAACTCTTTATAAAATACGATGACAAGTTCAAGAGTCGTAAGGTTAACATACAAAAGAAATGGGATCAACGCAAACTAAAACTGCCAATTGATATGCAATTGGATATGGACAGATTTTTCTATTATTCCCTGGCACCTGGTTTGCCGGTGCACATAAAGGGTGCAGAACATGCGGGCGTTACAATATGTGATGGCTCTGAAGAGGACACTTTGCAAAATAATATGGATCATATGGCCACAGATGATCATCATTTCGGACAAGATGATGACATGCAACACGATAATATGCCCATGAGTGAAGAAAATCACACACGCAACATGACAAATATGGGTGATGGCCTAGGAAATGAGGAAGGTTTGGAAAATAATTTTGCCCCCAGTGAGGGCAATGGCAATGATACGATACTGGAAATAGCCACCGATTATGAGGGAGCTCCCACACAGGTTACCAAGATTATAGTACCTTTTGCCAAGCGTGCCAAAGTGATTGATATGAAAAATCTTAAACGTAGTTGTACAGTATTGCTAACCAAACAGCTTAAACAGCCAATTGTTGAGAAGGAGCTGCCGCAACATCCCATACCCAAACAGGAAGAATACCAAGATGGTGTTGCCAGTTTCCATGAAGTCTATGAACACCTGCCCGAGCTATTGTCACAAAATATGACTGCGGCCCTCTCCACCTCCATAGCATTTTACTCTGTGTTACATTTAGCCAATGAACATAATCTGCGCTTAATACCCCAACAAGATCTTAAAGATTTCAAAATACGCAAAGTGGCAGGATAGTTTAGGTGGTTTTCAATTTATTTTTACTTACAATTTTTTTTTTTTACAATAAACTTTTCAATAAATTAATTGTTTTGAATTTTTAAAATGCAAATATAAGTTTAACCGAAAAAAAACGCAAACAATTTTATATTTGAAATTCAATTCTTTTGTAGTTATTTAATTATGTTAGTTAATTATGTTTAAAGCTTAACACAAACTTAAATAAATAGTTTTAACTAAAGTTCTTTGCAAAATTCAAGTAATACAAAAAAAAAACAAGTATTTTAATATGTAAAATTTTAGTTTTTAAATTGATATTTCCAGGCATTAGTAGCCATTAGTATTTCAGTAAAGTTTTCTTGTTAATTTAGTGTTAAAAACGCGGTTTTGTGTATATTTTTTCTATAAATAAAAAAATTTAACATTTAAACCAAAAAACGCTTGACTGATATTCAATTAAACAAAATTTCTTAATTTTCACAGTTTTTTTAAAGAAAATTTTTTCTTTGAATAGTTTTGCATACAGAAATTATCCTACTTAAACTTTTCTCACAAAGTAGACCATGAGCTCTTCTATAGAAAGTATCTTCCTTAATAAGTTTTAAGTAAAAAACTGTCTTTCCTAGACAGATTTCCATAGACTAGTTTCTTTGTAAAGAAAAGTGTCTTCCTTAGAAAGTTTTCTAAAGAAAAGTGTCTTCCTTAGAAAATTTTCCATAGAAACGTGTCTATCTTAGAATGTTCTATAGCAAAAGTATCTTCCACAGAAAGTTTTCTATAGAAAAGTTTATTTAATAGATTGTTTTCAATATAATTGTCTTCAGTAGATTATTTTCTATAGAAAAGTGTCTTCCCTAGAGAGTTTTCTATAAAAAAGTGTTTTGTAAGAAAGTTTTCTATAGAAAGAATAGATTGTTTCTATAAAATTGCCTTTAATAGATTATTTTCTATAGAAAAGTGTCTTCACTAGACATTTTTCTATAAAAAGTGTTTTCCTTAGATAGTTTTCTATGGAAAAGTTTCTTTCTTAGACAGTTTTCCAAAGAAAACTATCTTCCCTAGAATGTTTTTTTATGGAAAAGTATCTTCAATAGATTGTTTCTATATAAATGTGACTTTCCTAGACAGAAATATGTCTTTCTAAGATTGTTCTATAGAAAACTATCATCCCTAAAAAATTGTCTATGGAAAATTATCTTCAATAGATTGTTTCTATAGAAATGTGTCTTTGTCTTTCCTAAACAGTTATCTAGAGAAAAATGACTTTCTTAAAGATTTTTCTTTAGAAACGTTTTTTTAACAGTTTTCTATAGAAAAGTTTCTTCGTTGGAATGTTATCTATAGAAATTTATCATTCTAAGATTGTTCTACAGAAGACTAACTTCCCTTGAAAGTTTTCTATAGAAAAGTATATTCAATATATTGTTTCTATAGAAATGTGTCTTTCCTAGACAGTTTTCTACAAGAAAATGTCTTTTTTATGCTGTTTTCTATAGAAACGTTTCTTTTTTAAACAGTTTTCCACAGAAAATTGTCTTACTTAAACATATTTCCTTAAAAAAGTGTATTTTGACCGTTTTCTATAGAGACATGTCTTCCTTAAACAGTTTTCTATAGGAAAATGGTTTCCTTTAACAATTTTCTATAATAAAAGTCTTCGTTAAACATTTTTCTATAGAAAAGATTGTTCTTAAACAGTTTTCCATAAAAAGTATCTTTCTTTAACATTTCAAAAAAAAAAAGTTTTCCATAAATAGTATCTTTCTTAAATATTTTTTACAGAAAATTATATTTCTGTTTCTTTTCTATAGAAAAGTGTCTTTCTTAGACAATTTTTCATAGAGAAATGTGTTTCTTAACTGGTTATCTATAAAAAAGTATTTGACTTAAATAGTTTTCTATAGAAAAATGACTTCTTTAAACAGTTTTCTCTAGAAAAGCTACTTCCTAAAAATTTCTTATTTATTTTGAGAGATTTCAAAAGAATCTACCAAAAAACTTTGTCTTTTTAGGAAGAGGTACAGTTTTCATAGCTCTTTCATAATCTCTAGAACATCACATTATTAGAACTAACAACCCCCAGCAAACTGTTAAACAATCACAAAAAGTACAGTCCTACAAGTATTGCTAGACTACAGTTAGATAAATGTTACAAATGTAGCGTAATTTCCTACCCAATATATTAAAGTTATTATTACAGAAAAATAGGCAGCACTTTTTCAGGATCATTGTGGTGGATAAAAACCAATACAAAATCCTTTAAAATAAACATAACAATAAGGTTTGGTGAATACAGCAGTTTTAGCAAATCCCAAAACCATTTATATAAAAACAAACAAAAATATTTGAACACATGGCATCTCTCTCTAAAATATGGCATCACAAATAACACAACCACTCACACCAAATGAAAGTCAGTAAATACAACTCTGCTTTTATTTATGTTTTGTTCCTATAGCAAATACATTTTCTCACTTCTTATCAAATACAACAATCACTGGTAAATATTACAAACAAGTGTTTTCTCACTTCTTATCAAATACAACAACCACTGGTAAATATTACAAACAAGTGTTTCACATAAAATACAACCTTGCGTTTGTTTATGTTTTTATTTAGTTTATTTGTGAAGTTTCATTTAAGAGTGTCGCGAAATTAGTGCAAAGAATGGTGTTGTGTTTTTTAATTAAATTAAAGTGGTAAAAAGATTATTATTTTTGAAAAAAAGTTTATAATATTGTTAAATAAAATATCTAGTTTAAGGGCATATAAAAATTATGTCATAAAGTGTAAAATTAATAAAGAAAATTGAGAGTGAAGTTTGCAAGAAATTTGCCTGGAAAGTGTGGTGCCGGCAAAAAAATGCAAATCATAAAGAAAGTAAACAAAAAAATAAAATATGAAAGAAGTGTTCAAGAAGGTGACAATAAATGCACTAAATTGCATTAGAGGAGAAATTGGGCTGAAAATTTTGCAACATTAAGGTAAGTGATATTCTCAAATTTATTAGAATTTCAGCAGAATGAGGTTTTAAAGGCTTTTTTCATTTGCCATCTATTTTAATAATAATAATAAGGTTGAACAATTATTGAGCACACTTTTGTGCCCACTATAGTGGGGAGGGTATTATGCGTTTGTACTGTTTGTACGTTTGTAACACTCTAAATTGTTGGTTCTACACCTTAAAGTAACTATGTTCGCCTGTCCATGTAACCTTGTGCGCAATCAAAACTTAGTTTTATAAAAGTCTTAATGATTCTGCCGATTTTCGTAATGATCGGGCCTTATTTGTAGCTAGCCCGCATACAAACTTTCCTTCAGAAAATGATTTGAAGGCCAGAATTCACTTAGCAAACCCTACTAACACGATGAAATTCTATACAAATAACTTTAATGTAGACGTAAATTCCTCCTTTTGCCAAAACTCACCATCGTGAGTTTATCACTCCGTTTGTAATTTCCACAATATAATTATCCGTCCCTATAAAGTATATGTATACACGTATTGTGGATTCTTATAAATAGATAGCGTAGTCAATTAAGTCACGTTTTCTGAAGAACCCAGATATCTTAGGGATCCAAAACTTCAAAGAAATGCTTTCGAGAAGTTTACTTTTTAAAATCAGCAAAATGCGCCGTAAATAATGGAGATATGAATAATAATCGGAGACAACCTCTGAAAATTTCGTTAAAAAAGACAAGTTTTTGCATGCTTTCACCAAAAAGAGCAACAAGTTGGTTTTATTGCATTGCGTATTGTGTTTGGTGTTTTTTTTTTCTGT